CTCCCCTCACGGCCGCCTCCCCTCACGGCCGCCTCCCTCCCCTCACGGCCAGCCCGCCGCCATCTTGCGGCGCCGGCGGCCATGAGGGACGGGCGGCTTGAGGGCGGGTCGGGCGCCGTGCCGGCCGCGGGGAAGACCCCCGGGTGGTTCTGAGGACCGGAGACCCCGTGGCCGGGAGTCCCCGGGGCCGGCAGAGCCCCGGACAAGCTCTGCTGGGGACAATGGCGGCGTCAGGGTCGCCAAGGCGACCGGGAGCAGCCAATCAGAACCGCTCTCCTTGCCACCGCCCCGCCCCGGGAGCAGCCAATCAGAGCCGCTCTCCTTCCCCCCGCCGCGCCCCTGGAGCAGCCAATCAAAGCCGCTCTTCCTCCCACGGCCCCGCCCCGGGAGCAGCCAATCAGAGCCGCTCTCCTTCCCGCCGCCCCGCCCCGGGAGCAGCCAATCAGAGCTTTCCTGGAGGACTGTTTTTCCTGGATATGTGTAAATACAGGCATTCCTTTTTACTCTCAAGTTAGTTAGGTTGAGGTTGTTTCCCTTAAAATTTAAGTGTCCAGATTTTAGTTCAGCTCCCCTGGCCAGGAGCAGTGGGGTGAGTGTGGCAGTGGGTAGGGCTGGAGCTGAGAGTGCAGATTCCATCTGTGGCAGCAGCCTAGGGAAGGGATCGGACATGTCCTGGAACTGCCCAGACTGCAAGAATTGAGGGGGAACTGACCTACACAAGTAATTCAGGCTCCCACAGAAAGCTGCTGGGCTGTGGTTCCAGGCCAGGAGTGTCAGGAACATGGTATGCTCAGTGGTTAATTTCCTTGGAGCTCTCAGGATCAGGATGAAATGGTGTTCATGGCCCCTGGGAAAGCCAGGAGCAGGGTCAGAGCTGTAACTGTGTCTCTTTCCTCCTCTCTGCAGGTCCTCCAGGATGCCCCAGAGTGCCCTGGCTCATGACAGTTTAATCTGTGTGGAATAGCTTCCGTGCCTGGCTGTGCAGCTTCTGAGTTCCTCATTTTTGCAAGAAAGTATTAATTCCCTACTCTGGAGATTATCTCCAGTTTTACCTGTAATTGTTTCTCCTCTCTGTTCACTACTGATTGCCTGATTTTTACCTCAAGTATGTTCATTCTCTTCCTTAAACATTACCTCAGATTTTATCTCAAAGCTTTCCCTACCTGTGCACTACTGATTGCCACAGTTTACTTCAAAATATTCATGCTCTCCACTAAAGGCCACCTCAAGTTCACTCCTGACGTTTTCCCTATTTATGCACTACTGATTATCTCAATTTTTACCTCAAATCAGCCATTCTCTATGTACAGATACTGGACAGTAAACCATAGAAAAATTTTAAAGTCTGCACCAGGAATAGCAGAAAGTTTTCCATGAATAACAGAAGTTCCTTTTTTACATCCTCAGCCTGGGACTGCAGGACTGAATCTTTGCGACCAAGAGACAAAGAGTTGTTATTAACACTTATACCTCTTAAATGCTGTCATTTCTCAGACAATTGTGCCAGCACTGACCTACTCCCATATGCCTGCAGTGCTTTGGGGAGGAGCAAGATGACATCCCATTTCTGTCTGTAAAAATTTCAAGATCATAAAAAGTCATTTCCCTTCTCTCTCTCTGACCCATAACCAAAGCAGCTGTGTAGAACAACATGGACTATTCATGAAAGGGATTATTCAGTTGTGGGAAAAAAAAAAACCTAAAGAAAAAAAAAACATATCAAATTTCAAGGTGAAAACACTGCTTGTTAACAGGAGCACACAAGCTCATTTAAACATTGACTGGAACTGCTCAGTACTGCAATCAAAAGAAGAGCCAGCTCCCTTTAGCTGTCCTAAGAGGCCTCTCAGTGGGCATCCCTTTTCCTCTATGCTGGTATTTAAATCTCTCCCAGGAATTTCCAATCCCCTACACTATTATCATCCCATCTCCAGATCATAGACCCCCTCTTAACTTTTGGATGAGTGGCAACATGAGACTCTATTGAATGCAAAACAAGTCCACCTCAGCCACTGTGTAAGGCCCCACCTGTAACAAAGAAAACCAAAATTAATGCATGGGTTTAGTGGCACGCAGGCCAAATCCCAGCATGTCAGCTACTCACCATTTAAGTGTCCCCAGGTCCTTAAGTCTTCTGTCAGAAATTGAGCATCTGTGAACATAAATTTTGAACAAATTAAATAGGGTGACTTTCCTAGAATAACTCCAGGCCATGGATGTCTCTTCAGTGCAGCTGATAACAGGCAAGAGAACTACAGCAAGCTCAGGGAGACGCAGTCAGGGATGGGCACTTCCTAAAGACCCCTGTGCACCTGGCTGCTCTTTGCCCTTTATTTGTAAAGAAGGGGGTGGCAGCTGCCCAGGAATGCTGCTCAGGGACATGGGTCCTTTGCACACAGAGCATGTGAGGGGAGTTGTGAGGAGAGAGAGGGAGAGAACAAAGAAACAGAGCCTGTTTTCCTTGTATCTGTTCCTCAATCATGAAAACTGCAAAAAGAAGGACAGACCCATGCTGTGAGCACTGCCCTGACTTTGATGGACCTTTTCTCCCTTTGCTTAGGGCTCTCAGCTCTGTCCTCTCCAGAGAACTGCTGCAGGAGCATACCCAAGTTAGTCACAATCCAGGGATGCAGCCATTCCAGAGGGGGAGCAGTTGAGAGTAATTTACAGAGACTTTTATCACACACAAATAAACACTGAGTTTGACTTCACTGAGCTGCAGCACAAAGCTGCTCACAGCAGGCAAAGGCACACAGCACCACTGAAACAGCATTGGGGCTTGGAGAAACACAACCCTGTCAAGTCAGGGGAAGGCATTTGGGAACAATCCTTGCTGGCTGTGTTATAAATTGAGGCAAATAATTCGATTCAGCCTTTTAAGATCAATTAATAATTTTATTAATTATAGCAAGCGATAACAAGCAAACAGCGCTGGGTGTAGCCAAGGGAGTCCACGCTCCCCAAGAGCTGACACCCCTCCCTCTCTTCAGTCACTTTTTTATACTTTTCTTGAGAGCTTCGCATTCGTATCTCCTCTGGTTGTACTAGGCTGGCAACAGCTGATTTCACAAGTGAGGTGATGGGTCTCCTTCTGCTGCGGTTATCAGTTCCAGCAACAGTTAATTTCACAAGTGGGGTAATGGGTCTCCTGCTGCGGTTATCAGTTCCAGCCAGTCCTGCAAGATCTTTGTTATATATATAGTCATTACATTGTTTCACAATATTTGCTTGTGGTTACCAGCTTTACCCAAGCCTGCAAGTTCTATGCACCAACCCCCACACTTTTCTTCTACCCTAATTCCATACTCTTGATGAACAAATAAGTCAATGCAGTTTTTCACAGCTGGACAGGATGCAGGCATCAGGCCTCAGTCTACAGCAATAACTCCTGCTCATCCAGCAAGTCCCTGCAGACAGTTCAGCCCTGGAGCAGTGGCATTTTCTGCCCCTTGCTCTAACATTAATTGGGAATCAACACTGGTACTGCGGAGAATCAACACAGACCAGCAATCCTGGTGCTTGGCAGGGGCCTGGGGCATCCCAGTCCAGGCCCTTGACTTCATTTGCGTGCTTCTACTGCAGGTAACCTAGCATGGGAACTGGTAAATCACAGACCATACAATGAGACACCTCCGGAAACAGAAATAAATTCCAGCTGCAGCAAATCCCACTGCTACATTTAGAAACCCTTCAGCAAAACCACTGGAAAAACAATAGTGACATGTGGGGACCTAGAGCTCCAGGGGACTGAGGAGAAGGTGGGCAACAAGCAGCCAGCAAAGAGCTTCCACTATTTCTCACTCCAGCCACTGCAGCACATCCCCATTGTGTCCTTCAAGCTCAACAGGTGAACATACAGGTACTCCAGGACTGATTTCCCTTGGACCTCAAGCAGCACAGACCCTCTGAGTGGAAATTAAATTCAAGGGCTGATGTCAACAACTGTCTTCCCCCTTGCACTCTTCCCACATTTTCTCCTTCTAAGGGGATGCAGGTCCCAGTAGGCAAAACTGCCTTTCAATCAGTACAAAACCTGCCTGAAAAGACCAGGACTCCAGGAGCCAGCACCCATTTCTCCTGGCTTTTCTGCTTTCAGGTATTTTAATTCCAGAGGTGCTCTTCTACCAAAGTAATTTCCTTTTTTTTTTTTTTTTTTTTTTTTGAATGAAGTTTTAAAAAGCTAAGTTTAATGAGTTCATATTTTGATTACTTGGAATTTTCCAGGGCAGCACTTGCTATGATCCTGCAGGCTCAATGACCCCTCTGCTCTGCCTCAAGCCTTTACATCCCATTTTCCCTGGTCAGTGTTCCCATGAACAGAACATACAACTCACCATGGACATGTTCAAAGTCCAGTTTCATGCCTGGAGGTGACAGACCAGATGCAGCAACACCAAAAGCCAAATTCCAGGCTAGTTTTTCCCCTTCCAGCTCCTCCTATTGTTTCTCCATCTCTCCAATGTTTGTTCCTTTGCCCGCTGGAGTTGTTTGTAGGCTCAGGGTTCCCAGTGCTGCCCAGTTCTCTTCCCAGCCCTGAGTCCCTCTGGCACAGCCATACACTTCTGGGAGCCACTTTGGGAGTGGCTAACTATGTATTTTTCATCCAAAAAGTGAGAGGTTTCTGTGACACCAAAGCAGAACTCATCGCCAGTTACAGGAAGCGAGCGCCTCATGAAAAACGACAGGATGAATTTAAGACAGAGAAATAACGTGGAGAATCAGTGAGTACCAGCGGTTAGCAGAAGGAAAGGGCGAGAACACACGCCAGCAGGAACAGGAATATTCCTTTCAGATGAGATAAACTGCGAGAGCATTAACTTTGAAATCACTTATTTTTCCCCGCCGGCTGGCATTGGTGAGGCGGGAACTGCATTTCCCGTGATGCTTCGGGCCGATGCAGGCCGGCGCCAATCGGGCGGGGCGGGGCGCGGGGCGTGACCAATGGGGAGGCGGGAGCGGCTTGAATATTAAGGCGGCGGCCGTACTTCGCCATTTTGCTGGCGGGAAAGTGTCGTGTGGGGCGCTCACACGGCGGGACCTGAGTGCACTACGTCCGGCCGGGTGGGGGCGGGTCCGGGAAGGGTTCGCGGAGCCTCCCGAGCTCTGGGCTAAGACGGCCTGAGAAGCTGTGAGGTAAAGGGGTGAGGGCCGAGATGCTATGAGGGGGATTAGAGCTGTGGGGTTCGTGGAGGATTGCGGCGATGTCAGGGGCTGTGAGATGCGCGGGGCTGAGGTTTGTGGGATCCGTGAGGGTTGCGCACCTCTGGAGTAGGGGATTTGGACTGAGGGGCTATGAGGGGCCCTGGGGGATCAGTGGAGTCTGTGTGGGGCTGTGAAGTTTGCAGAACGGATGGGTGCCGTGCCGCTGAGGAACGCTGGGGGAGCCGTGAGGTGTGTAGCCCGTGTGGGGCTGAGGGGCTCTAAGTTGTGCGGTGTGCGGGACCGACAGCTGCGGGATTCGTCAGGCGCGGGGCTGAGGGGCACTCGGGGATCGGTGAGGGGCTGTAGTCCGTGAGGTGTGAGGGGCTGTGGGTGTCTCTGGGGGTCTGCGAGGGTTTGTGTCTGTGTGGGACCCGTGGGGGGCTTTAGGGCGTGAGGCACTTGGCGCTCGCGGCTCTGGCGCTCTGAGACGTGTTTTTCCGCGCGGCGCGGCGCTGGGGCTGCCCGGACAGCGCGGGGTGCCCGGCCCCGGCGTGGGGCGGTGCGTCCGGGGAAGCAATAACCTCCCATGGGTGCCGCAGGGAGTCCCCGCCGCTGTGCCCCGCCGCCCCCCGGCGGGGGTCGAGGCTGGGCTGTGCCCCCGCTCGCCTGACTGGGGAAGATCCAGAGGGTCCCGACTAAGCCTGGCTGAGGCTCCCCCTGGCCGGAGCGCGGCCGTCGGCAGCCCCTGTGAGGAGGGTGAGGAGGAGGGTCTCGGGGCAGGGAAAGGAGGAATGGGTAGCGAGGGAGGTGGCTTAGTCTTTGTGGCTTTTGCTGATAATATTGCCTGCTTGCCGTTCTTCATTGTCAAGATGGGCTTTTTTTTCCCGTGTATTTCCGGACGGGGGTAATTAAACCCCCAAGTCCCTCTAATAGTTGGGAATCTAAGCAGTGTGGTTTGTCTGTACAGAAATTCGAGGTAAATGATCTGGAGAAAGCCGTCTCTGTCAGGTTTCAGGTCAGTACCCAGCGTTAGAGGTATCCATTTCTTTTTAAAGGCAGGATTAAAGGAGAGGTGCTTATGTCCCGGGAGACAGCTGCTCCCTCCTGTTCAGGGAGAATGTGCAGCCCAACAGTCAGGGAGAGGTGATGTCCAGCCTGCAGAAAGAACTCCGTGCAGGACCTTAGAAATCTAGCAGGGTAAGGTGGCTGAAAATGGGTGAGGAAAAGAGGAAGGTGTGTGTAAGCTAATGACTTCTAAACCCCGAAACTGAGGTTTTGTCTTTCTCCTTTGCCTGTGGTTTGTGCCTTTTGCAAATGCAGATTAAATTATAGAATCATGAAATTGTTTGATGTTGTATTGTGGATTTATATTTTATGTTCTATATACATATTCTGTAATGGTTTGTCCCTCTACCCCCCACTTGCCCACAATAGTTTACCCCAAGTTTTCCCACTTCTTTCCCCAATGTCAGTCATCCCAAAACTGCCAAGTCATTCCCCTGTCCCCTTCTTGGCTCATTGTCCATCACTTGGCTTCCCATTCCACTCCTCCAGAAACTTCTAGCCTGGGTGTCAAGTGATTGAGTGAGGGCCAGGGCTCCCTCCCATGATTTCCATCAATTGGATTTTCTATCTGTCTGTTCCCCCACCTTCCATTCCCCCAAATCCCTTCATTGATCGGTGGGTGATCCCTTCCCCCTGCTTACTCTCCCCTTTCTACGTTGTTACCACAGTCCTGTGTGGGCTTTTTTTTGGTAGTATCCCCTGGAGCGTAGGTCTCCTTGGAGCCCTGTAATAAACTGTGAACTATTGCCCCGATGGGGAGTCTGCTCCCTTCTTCCACAGATCAGTCTGCTCCCTTCTTCCACAGATCTTTGCCTCGTCTCCTCGTCCTCCTCCTCAGGGCTGACTGCATTAGCGCTCAGCCCTAGCTGCTCCCCACAGCCATGCCTGAGCTGGCTGGGAGAGACCAGGAGGCTTCAGGTGGACACAGCAGCACTTTGGGCTGGAAGGGACCTTATAGATCATCCCTTTTCACCTTCCACTAGCCCAGGTTGCTCCAAGCCCCATGCAACCTGGCCTTGGGCACTCCCAAGGATGGATCAGCCACAGCTTATGTGGGCAACC